GTTTGTGACCATCAACAACTAGCAAACCAGTCAATGTCTGATGAAGGTCCGCTGGCAATGGATCGAAACGTCACAAACAGACGTATATTTGTTTGGTTTACTTTTTCTATGTTTTAATAATAATAATGATGATACTGATGTTAATGATGATATTGATGATGATGGTGATGATAATGTTGATGATGGTGATGATAATGATGAAGACAATGACAATAATGATGACGTCAATCGTTATAAGTAAGTACTGTAAGTATAAACTTAACTATCGACTACAATATTATTTACTGTAGTACCTTCAAGTATGCATGCTTGCTAGATTAATAACTGAATCTAAAATACAAATCTAAATTGAAATATTTATACAATAAATACAAGACACATAATAAGTATATATATACATACATTTATATATGTACAGTATATAAGTATGCAATTTATAAATATTATGCAATGTATCACAATACATTTTGCATAATCGTTGAATGTCATATCACTGGACCACTGTACTTATATACTGTAAAACCTCGAATAGAAGCCCCATGGGCTTAATTTTGAGAAGAAGCCCATCTCAAAGCGAAGCTCCCCTCTTCAATTTGCAAAATTAATCTCTAAAAGAAGCCCATGGGCTTTTAATCAAGATAATATGGGCTTCTTTCAGACTGACGTTATCTTTGATTAATATGATAGCATGTCAGTATTAATATTAGGTTATTGTACTAGCATGGTTAAAATTATTTAAAAACAGAATTTTGAATTCCATAGTTGAAAATCTATATTTAGTGAGTTTATATTTTTTAGTATATATATATGCTCAGCAGAAGGCAATTTTTTTCAGAGGCAATTTGGTAACAACTTGGGATGACAAAATTTGACTTATATTCCTTTATTTGTTACATTCTTTAAGAGGTTGCTCATATGTTGTTGTGGATTCTATATGTTTTTTTTTATGCTTTTGTAAATCTACAGATTGTTATATCCACCATTTTATGTAATGCCTCTATTCATCCAGAAATAATATAACCAGCACTAATAACGTCATACACGTACTCATGGATGGAAACAGAAGCTAACAACAGCAATAAAATGAGTCTTACTACAATAGTACATCGTACTGGTTAAATGATATACTGATATCCAGAAACAGAAAAAAAAACCCTCTAAAATGTTATTAAAACCTTGAATTGCACATATACAGATACAAAAAATCTTTAAAGTTGGTGGCAGAAATGAAGGGATAAATGCAAAGACTATAGGAATGTATTAGTCACATCTGTTGATTTAGTTAGGAATTTTATTTTCTCATCTTCAATTCAAATCTATAAAACTTATTAGAATATACAAAGTAATTATTATATTTTTAATTTACAAATTTATTAGATTTACATGGCAGAATACATTTAATTGTGGTATAATATACGGTGGATTAAAAATTTTACTGATTTTATTTTATTTAATATCTAGATTAGCATAATGACTGCCTCAACATCTATAATATTTCATTACAGTTTGAAATAACAAAGGTTATGTCACAACCTTTAACCTTTCTAAACAATCCTCATATAGCATTGTAAATTGACTTCGTTTTTACTAAACCACAATAATAAATGATACATACATTTTGTGTGTGCGTGTTTCAACATATACATTGTAATTATCCTGAGTTCCCATCTTTGAATGGCTGTCACCGATATCTAGACGATAGCATACTTAGTAACTGTATTGATCTCGACTTTTAGTGAAAGATGAGATCCAACTTACCAGTTCACATCTATTAAAATGGACATAAAGCCATTGGTCCTGTGAATTGTTTATGCTTATCATTAACAAAATTACAAAATTGTCTCTTCGCGCTCTTAAAATGTATTCTTGAGTATGTAACAATGACATATCGGACAGGGATATGGCAGCATATAGACATAACCTAACATTAAAGTCAAATACTGTATGGATAAGTATGTATAAACATTAAAATCTACTAACAACACTCCAATACTATCATTATTATACCTCCTAAAATGTAGAGCTGATGTATATTAATTACATCATGTCCACCTACGCAACCATCCATAACATTCTTCACGATGATGTCTATACTGCCAGATAAACTGAGACTCCACGGAATTCCTGGTGCATTGCTCAATTATCATCACCTGGTTCCAATTTACATGCACCTTCCTCATGCCTCGTTTCCAGAAACAGTAATGGGAACATACCAAGAAGGCAGCCGATGACAATGCCCAGGGAGCGTCCCTACAAATCATAAAGATGATTAGGTATAATTCATTCATACATTTCGTCATTCATTCATTTACTTTCTAATTAATTCATCGATTCAAAAATAAAGTACTGTTATTTTTTTAATATATATTGTTGCTATGTATTGTTATACAGTAATTTAAAGTATACACTACTAGGAATTCTTAGATTTTAGGTTAGTCACTCTTCAATTGTTTTTATTTTATTTCAATTTTACAACATGCAACATTCTGTTTTGAATAGTTCTTTTGTGATCCTATATGTCACATTTCTGGTGAAACCTGTCCTATTAAATTTAACCAAGTAAAGTTGATGTGTGATTTGATACGATACTTACAGAGAACGCTGCCCAGCGTGTGGACACCATATCAAGTTGCTCGGCAGTCAGCTGAGGCATTGGTACACCAAGCTTAACTGCCAGGGCCTCCACATATCCAGCAAGCCTACAAAATCAAAAGCATTCCAGCAATTAATTGCAATCAATTCTGATATCGGCACATCAAACTGCTAACAGCCAATGAACTCATGTATTCAGGTAACGGTCACTAGCTGAGGGACTCCAACAAAAATCCCCATTCCCAGGAACCGCTGGAAGTAGGTGACAGTATTTCAATCATTCTGAAGAGCCTGTGTATGCTAGGTATAGTAATTCTTTATCCTACCAAGTCCTCATTTAACTCATGGTTGATAAGAGTTACATATAGATGAAGTACCTTGCCCAAGGATGCAGACAAGTTATTAGTCTCTAACCAGAACCAATGCATTTGACCATGGAAGCCTGGGGCATCACCACTGTGCTATATGCAATGATCTACTGTACATGCAAGCTATCATACTCACAACATTTTGTTGTTCTATGAGTAGTTATGGTAATTGAATCCACAATCTTTTTGCTACACATCTAAACGACAAAAAACATTTGTACTGACACATAATCTGAAATATTTTCAAATAAATAATAAAATATAAATAAATTTTTTCAATACCATACAGACCTACATCTTTAAACAACATGCCTAACTCCAAACAATCCCACAATATTTTACAGATACTATTGGTATCAGTGCTTTGAGGATTTCTTCTGATGAATGTTGATGTTGATGATGATGATGTTGAAGATAATTAATATTATTTATGAATATGATTAATGTTATTTTAAATAATATTAATATCATAGTAACAGCTCAGTTTCAGTTAAGTAAAATGTATTATATTATAACAATACTATTGTATTGATAATTATAATATAATAATTTGATATGATGATTTCAATGTTTATTAGGATGATTGACAATGATAATGATGATGATAATAATGATGACAATGATAATGATATGATGATAATAGGAAAAACAAAGAAGCACAAAATATCATTGGTGGAAGAAATGCCAAGGCCAATATCTGATAGGTAGAGTTCGGAGGCGGGCTGTTCACCGACCCTAGCTAACAAAGCTAGCAAAAAGATGGACACACGCTTACACCAACTCTCTGTTGTTTTGTGTGATCAGAATCAACAGTAATAAGAGTCATAACATTTTATGATACATTCACTGAAATAGCTCCAAAAAAGTGCTGGCAGCCAGAGTTTGTTATGCCAAACTTCTCTTGCCTGCATTTTTTCCTAACAAAAGCACTCAATTTGGAGGACACACAAAGACAAAAAAAATCATATCTCAGAAAATATAGATTGTTAATGGATCAAGAAATTATTTCTATCTTGATTAGCAGAAAAACAAGATTCACGATAAAGGATGACTTAATTTTTCATGGGAGAAACTAAAAATTTAATTAAGAGAAATGTGCAACTATCTACTATACTACACAAAAATCTATGAAAAACGTAATGAAATACATAACAGAAAAAATGCAGAAAAGCTGAATTTGAAATTAAAAAAACTTTTTTAGACACAAAAATTATCAATTGAAAAGCAAACAAGTAATATAATTTATGTATATGCTTTTAACCTTGTATTAAAATAAAATTAGTAGTCAGTAAATGAGAGTTCTATATTCATGCCCAAGGGATTTTGATTCAAAAAAGTTTTTTGTTTGCTTTTACACTTCATCACATACAGTACAGAAACAAAACAAAAGATCATAACAAAATTATATTGAAATTTTGTATGATTTACAACAGATACCGTATATACCTAAAAAAACATGATTTGCACTGATAAAGTATCTTAGGCCAATGGAAACAAAGTAATAAGACCTGAAATAAGGTTAAAGGACTTGACTTGAGTTATTACCTCAAAATATAACCTTACATTTTTTAATACAAAAGAAAAAAAAAAAAAACCCCAAACCCATAAGTACCATAATGTGCCAAGGTATTGGTGATAAAATATTTAAGGTGCATTATAAGATGAAATAGTTCCTTTAAAAGCAGTAAATGTGACAAAGACAAGCCAAATCAGTCACTCGTGGCAAAAATTGATTTTTTTAAATATTAATCTAGGGTTAAAGATGAAAATGAGAGCTATAAAATAGTAAAAAGATCATTTAAATCCGACATTTCCTTATGAAGTTACAAGCATTTAAACATACAGCTGTTTAAAGAACAATATTTGAGAAATCAAATTTCAAAGCTTATGATTTCGGGCATTTCTCCGAGAGAAACCATCACCAAATTGTTAAAATTGTTATTTTAACATTGAAATTTTGACATTTCAGCGTGTTTTGGCTATTACCTCTGAAACAGGATTTGTGACGAGTGACTGGTTTGGCTTGTCTTTGCCACAAACGTGGAAAGTGAATACATTAGTACTCAGGGTTCTAGTTAGGTGAGTAATTTCAAAATTTTAGACTGGAAAATAAGGGATTTGTAACACCACTGGACATAGAGAATTGTGAGTACCCAACCACCAAATTACCTAAGGTCCACATTTTGCAAGATAGAATTAAAGACTAACTCTTGCACATTCCAGTAAACCATCCACCACACCTCCTTGACCAATCAGAGCAATTTCCAACTGTATTATATAACATTTTTGAGGAATTTGAGTGTTGTTCACTGCCTCTTGCATGTCAATGACACACCGTGAACAAACTCATCTTCATTCTAGGTTTCAATAAAATCATCTTTATTCTCGTTTGGGAATCATTAATACAGCAGGCGTGGATTTAGACCTTCGCACAATTCGCCATGGCGAAGGTCAGAGCAAGAAATATATATTTTTAATACACAAAGAAAATTAGATTCAAATTTAAGTCTGAAGAGTGCCATTTCCGTCCATCTCGGTGCCATTATCATAAATTTTCTTATCCCAGCCTAACCTGGTAACCATGGTAACCCTGGTAGGGTTGAGGTGTTATACACCCCCACTCTGTGAAAGTCCTTCCTTGGTCTCTCTATTTTGAATTCCTGGCTCTGCCACTGACAATGGCGGATTCAAGGGCCAGCCAGCCCACCCCCTGCCTTTAATGGGAGAAAAAGAAAATCATATTAAGTCCGAGAGTGCCATTTCCGGCCATCTAGAAGTGCCATAATCATAAATTTTCTTACATCAGCCCCAACCATGGTTGGGCTGAGGTGATAGATCGACCCTCCATCTGTGAAGGTCCCTCCCCTGGGCCCCTCTATTGCAAATTGGCACAAGTACAAATGCAAAGCAAAAGATTGAAACCCCAAAATCAAGGTTAGGAAACCGAACCATTTCAACTGCGCCAAACAGCTTCCATAAGTTTTTTGGAGAGGGAGTGAATTTATTTTTAGTCTTAAGAAATTATCTTTAGAGTCTGACAAAATGAAAGACCTGGAAATGGGAGGAAATATATCAACATAATACATTTCATAGTACTATATAGATCTTTGCTTATGGCTTATGTATTATCTGTGTAATTTTTTGAAAATAAATAATTTTTAATTGGCAGAAAAAACTAAGTGATTATTAAATTACAAATTTATTAGCATTGTAATAATTGTGATTTCAATATTATATAAGGCATATCAATTGGGGTTCTATACATTGTTTTCATATATATTAAATATGTTTTTTTATATTTTTTATATATCAGGAGCCCCTATATTCTCTTCCAATATATTACATTCTTTATATGAATTTGTTATATCTATTAAATTAATTCATCAAATTACAAACTCCTAAAATATTTTTGACACACAAGCTTTAATATTTCTGAAGATTTCCAGTAAAGGACAGTGGAGCAACGTATTATTGAAGCATGGAGACGGAAGTGGTTTCAAAAACTGTTGGGTAATTGGGAAGCTGTTGGTATTGCAGATTTAACCTGGCTTGTATCTCTCTAGGTAAGGAGGCACTAGGCACTATGTTAAAGATAATTAAAATATAATAACTTTCTTTGAATAAAATACCAAGAAAAGGAAGTATGTTACAATAATGATATTACTAATTAACAGTCCCTGAGGAAATCTTCTTCTTTAAGTGCCATGCGCGATACATGACGGTCATTTGCCCAATTGATGACATCAGCTGTAGAGTTGGTGATCAACTCTAAACACATACTATATGGACTGTTAAGGAGACATCCACATGGTTTCACTGACTGGGTACAAATGCAAGCCATAGAGTGAGGGTTAAGAGAGGGCAGTGGCACATCAACAAGATCTCTGGGGTGATTGCCCCAAGTTGCTCTCCAATGAAAATATGCTGAACAAAAAATTATGCTCAAATAAAAAATTACGGCCTGTCAACTCGCAAGCATTTGGGAGGGTAGCGAGAACCAGGGAAGGGGCCGATCGAGAGACAACAATACCCTAGCGGTTCCAGGTGCACAACCCACAAATTTTTGTTTTTATGACGACTGGAAAGACTGAGAACAGGGCATGAAGGACTCCTGGCAGTAGAATGGGGGGGGGGGGTGGCCAAGTCCCAGAAAATTCAATGATTCTTAACTGTAGTTATTAATGTAGCTGATGTATTCCCATATCCATCTCCAGTTGGAGAACTGTTTCACTATTTTGTAAGTGCTTGTGTCAAACTTATGGAGCCTCCTGCCACCTCACCCTGACAACTGAAATTTTGGAAACTAGGTTCCGACCCTGCTGCCAGTGAATGACAACTGTTTTTGGTGGACGTAGGAGGTTGATGCTTCTTGTGGATCTCTTGAATCTGCCCCTGACAAATCTTTTAATTAGTCAATGTAATATAATTTGTATATAAAAGTACTTCATATATTTTTAATGTAACTTTTTTCTTTAATTATTAATAATTAGTACAGTATATATTATAAATGATTTTTCAAAAGTTTTTTTGTTTGTTTAATCCTTTTTAATAACTTGCTGAGCTTCATACAGTGATTTATTGTTTAGGAACTGAAGTTATGTAAGTTTCAACTATACTGGATGGCCAACCCTTAAAAAAAAGATTCTCCTCCAGAAAAGAAGGGCATCTTTTTTTTCCAATTGGGTCAGAAATAACTTGACACAAACAACTTGGAGTTTAAGACATAGATTAGTTGGATTCAATAGATTTCTGTGAACTGGTGTCCATATTAATCCATGGATCATATCGCATAATTGCTATCCCAAATTCCAACAAACCCTGCAAATGCTGGCGTGTCTTCGTCCAGGATGAGCACACAATGGGTTAGATTATCAGAAGGAAATCATTGTTATCTTGCAATGGTGATTACAATATCTTGCAGGATTTTAAGCCATACACTTTTGTATGTCATGAATAGCTGAGAAGTAATATAGAATGAACTTATGAAAATTTACGTGAGAAACCCCTTTACCATGTCAACTTCAGGTCCAATGAGGGGAGGCTAACACTAGTGGTGCGATTGTCTAGATAAAAATCTACCAAAAACCCACCCTTAACTTGTCCTTGTACAGCTTAATTTAGAAAGGATACTTATTGCATAAAAATACTGGAGAGAGGAATAAAAAGAGAATGTACAATGATGCTAACTACTGTAGACTGAACTTATAATATGCCATTTACTGTACCTAGGAACTTATCCTAATGCAGGTACCTAATGTTAACCTGTGGTTGTTGAATACATGCAAACCACAGAGAAAATCCTCTGCTTCCTGGATGGCTTTTCTAGGTCATATCATTAAAAAACAAAAAAAACCAATTATACATCTGTATAACCTGAAGATACATGATAGTGTCTTTCATAAAGACACTGACATTGAGATCAATATCAACCTCACAACCAAAGTAGTACCTCTGCGCAAAATGGTTCCAAATTCTAAACACAAAAGTTCCTCAGTGGGTAAGAAGTACTGAGAAGCATACTCTCGAACAAGGTATCAGAAAGATGATAAATTGTATTCAATTACAAGATGCGGGATGGGTTAATGGAACCACATACCATATAAAATTCACATCTTCACAGAAATCTCTTACCAGGTATCATAAAGGTGTAATGGAAAAAAAAAAGAACGACCTTTAGATTCAGCCCAAACGAGCTACCTACCATCCTTGATGAAAGATAGTAGGAGTAAATCTTTATTTCCAAGAAATTCATTTACTGATGAATAGCGGTCTGAACGAGTTGGACACTATCAAGGTCTTACGATGTACCTAATTATAAATGCATTTCAACACTCAGCCTTTCAGAAGAGATTTAGATTAACTTTTGCTGGTTATTGATTTAAAAACAAGGTACGATAATAATGATAATCTATTTATAGCAATGAATATCAACTTCAATGTGAAAAACAACATTAACAATTAAGTACCATGCATAATGCAATTAACATGCTAATTAATAATATTTATTTTATTAATTCAAAGAACTGAAATATGTGACTACATGCAAAGAAACTTGGGGAGGGGGAGGGGAGGAAGAATTTATTATCAATAAATACAAAAGCAAACAATACTCATTATACTATTTAAAGGCACATTGAAACTTGAAAGCATGACCATTTAATTATTAAAGAAATTTGGAATATGGATGCTTAAACAATTTTAGAATACTGAATATTCATTTATTTACCATTAAATTATGAATACTAATTTCCATATTTGGAAAAGTACAACAGTTTCAAAATAAAAATATTTCATTTAATTGTTTAGACATAAACTAAACATAACACAATATTTTTTTCTTAATCGTTTAAGATCGATATCAGTGGCCTAATGCGTCAAGTCTAAATTACATAAGTTGATCTATATACTGTATCCAATGTGGATTTGATCAAGTTCTTCATTAGTCATACTTTGTATAAACAAATCTTGTCTATTTTTGCTAACATCGGGTTGTGCTTCTGTAAATTATTTGTTTATGCTCTCCTTAAGAAGGTTTTTATTGAATAAATTGTATTGAAATTGAATTGAAATTAATTTTTTTTTTAGTGTACATTTATATGTGATTCCAATCCATACCTCTACCCTAAGTCATTACTCTATTCATGTTACCTGTATGTTGTAGGCCTACATTTAATAGACGAATAATATATAGGCTCTGATGTTTTAATTAGATTTATGTTAATTTTACATCTTAAATACTGTATTCCAATTGAAAATAATTGTTACAAATAGACTAAAATTATAAAAAATATATGTCATGTTAATAAAAATGATAAGTTATTATCAACAATTTTACATAGGGCCTAACAATACTAATTTACTGATAATGAATATAATGAACAATTCATAAAAAGTGAAAGACATAATGCCAATTATTGGCTTGCTCTCACAATATTAACAATCAATTGAATGAAATAAAATTCACTAATACCTGAATCTAGAGACTAAAAATTAATTACATGTTATATGACTGTACAGTATTATTTTATTATTCACATATTATTCATTAAAACTTCATAGTATTTACAGGTAACACATCCAGGTCATTATAAAAACAGAAAAATCCTTGGCTATATTCATTACCAATTAGGGGAAGTACCAACATTAGTCAAAGATCCAACAACTGAGGGCAGCATAACAGAATTTATATTTGCAAGGCCAAATATGTTTTGAAAACTGAAGAGGGATTAATTCAGGGGAGGGGGATGTGTCTGACAAAAATAGGTGAAGGCAGTAGGGTTGTTAGGGCCCAATCAGAATGCGGCAGGGAATCTAGGCAATTTTCGACTTGTTTATAAGATTTTTTTAAAATTTTTTAAATTTTTTTGCAAACCTCTTTAAAGGTGGGCAGTGGTTGGGGCTTAAAACTCAAATTACTTTGGTAAAATCTAATGAGAACAAAACTAAAGAGTAAATTAAATGGGATTATAACTGGAGAGGTCTTGCTAAATGCACCACATCGCAAGACATCAAGCATCCATGGTGATGATAATAAGAGTGTGATAGATAATGTTGGGAATACTGAGTGAACTTTGTATAAATCTAGTCAGTAATTAACAGAGTTTATGCAATAAGGCATTAAGCTAAACCATGCTTCATATTAATAATTTTCTTGTAATACTGGTTATACAAACAATAATCTAAGCGGTTACCAACCTAAGCAATCTTAAGTTTATCACCAGATTTACTCTAGAGGGCAGCAAACTAGTTTCAATGGTACTGTGCTTACCCTAATCCTGCCAGATCTGATATGAGGTTGCCAAAGCCAGCAGCTGTACAGAAAAATAATAAAAAAAAATAATCAAAACACTAAGCTATGGCAAGAAAGAATTAAAATACAAATACATATATAACTAAACATACTATCAAGTCAAATATTAAATTATCTTGCTTACTGTATTTTAATTCTAATTCACAATCATTTTTAAAATTGGATCATTGGGAATAACTTGGAATGTATTAATGAATTTTAAAATATATTACTCTCGGTGTTGTTTTTAAAATATAGGAAATATCAATATTTTGATTACTTATTTCGTATATCTACAGTAATGAACTTGCAATTGAAAATGAGAAAAAACAATTTTCTTTGTTAATATGATATTAAAATACTTTCCTATATTATTATTCATAAACCCTTTAGTCAATTTATGGATACTGTAAATGTAGTAAAATGTATCTAAATCAGAAAAAAATTTATCTGGTTAATATTAATAACATATTTGAAACTTTTATTGAATTAATTAGTGTTTTTGTTGAAAAGTAGATTTGGTTAGGAATGTTTAAATATATGATGTGGATGAATTACCTTACCTGCCATTGTGGAGATACCAAGAACTGTGCCGATCTTCAAGTCGATGTAATCACCCTGAAATATACAATGTTCGTTCAGTACAGAGCAAATGGATTGTTTAAAAAAAATTTTCATATCCAAGCATTATATTCTTATAAACTATATAATTAATTAAATATATATTGGATTTACATACAGGGCAAAATGATGCAGACAGTATTTGTGCCAAATCAATACATCCGTCATTGGTGCTAATAATGATATGTTCAATTGAAATGCAATTTTAGAAAAGTTAAAAATGAAATCCTGTGATTCATTTTCATGTTGAATTTCAATGTTGATTTATTCTTGATTTCTATTCTGAGAACATGTCTTAAACAAACTTGAATAATTACTTTGCAAGTTACTATAACCACCATGCTGTAAAATATTCATATCAAGTTTTGAAGTTTAATAATGCTCAAATAATATAATCATTCTGAGGTAATTTTAATCACTACTTTTAGGCAGCAGCACAACTAGTTTGTACCATCTGTTTTGTGTCATATGAATATTCTCTGAATATTATAAAAAATTTGCATTTTTAAAACTGTGGGGTTTCAATGATTTTTGCTGTACTTTAAAGTCATCTTAATTTCAGTTTTTAACAGCTGGTTTGAATATGGCAAATACTGTATCAAGTAAATAACAAACTTTAGTACATTTTAACATTTATACAATTGAAAGGTATTCTAAAGCTAAGTTTATGTCTCAACTCAACTGCCACCAACTGACCTCAACTAAATACCGGTAGCACTCATGTCGACTCTCAATCACAATCGCACAAGTAACTATGCAACTAAGTAGAACTAGATGCTTAGAGCACCGTTCCACAGCCTGTGGGTCGCGACTCAATGTTTGGGTTGTGAAAAAACTTTGATGGGTCACTTAATACGAGTGAGAACAAACGAAATCAAATTACTGTAAAGGAAAGTGCAATGAAAGTGTGGCATGTGCGTCAGTGTACTTTTGTAATGCGTGGTTTAATCATAGTTTTATGTTAAAAATATACTATCAAAACATATGTACTTTAGGTATGAAAACTTGAAAGTTTCAAGGTGTTTGGCTTTCAGTTGAAAATTATAATAAAGAAAACATTTTCTCAATTTAATGTGTCTATGTCTTTACATAACCCAGAAATATCTGGCAGTAAATTAAGGAAATTATAATAAAATGTCTGTAAACTATTAATTAAAAAAAATCTTGAACTTATTGAAAAATTTGATGACTTACAAGGTTTGGTTAAATGATGAGTAATTCAAAGTTATGTTTTCATTTTTAGGTGTTTTAAATTGAGTATCTTTTAATTTTCTGCCAAAAGAATCAAGTGGGTGATTCTTTTGATACCTGCTGTCCCTTGCACGTATATAAAACGACGGATGCGATTTATTGGCTTCGGGTTCGATGAGTTGCGTTTGAGTGCTTGACATATAATTAGGGTCGCAGGCTAAAACAGTTGTGGAATGGGGGCCTAGAGTGCTTATGTCACTTCTGAGTGTAGGGAGCTTTCATGTTGACAGTAGGACATAGAATGTAATGATGTCACTAAAAACTGTGGGGTTTCAATGATTTTTGCTGTACTTTAAAGTCATGTTAATTTCAGTTTTTAACAGCTGGTTTGAATATGGCAAATATTGTATCACGTAAATACTGTAACAAACTTTAGTACATTATAACATTTATACAATTGAAAGGTATTCTAAATCTAAGTTTATGTCTCAACTCAACTGCCACCAACTGACCTCAACTAAATACCGGTAGCACTCATGTCGACTCTCAATCACAATCGCACAAGTAACTATGCAACTAAGTAGAACTAGATGCTTAGAGCACCTAAAAACTCATCTGCGCATGCGAATACATTAAGTTCTCCTCGCCACAGGGATTTTAGGATGCAAATATACCAAATCTACATCGTTCAGGGAACGTAGGAAGGTCAAGCATGAGTGAATCCTTGCTAGTGTTGCGTCAGTGCACAAATCGAAAAATCTCTATTAATTACAACTAGTTGCCAAGCAACACTACCATAATCTGTAAAAATGTTAGCAAGCGCAGCAAACACGCTGTGAATAACAGATTTACTACTGTCACATGACCATTCAATCGCTTCTTGGCTGCTTTAGATTGTAGCAAAATAGAACGTGGGCAACTGAGAGCAACTGGTGACCGGCGAGCTCATGCCGTTCACAGTTGCTCGCTAGTTGCTTGAAAGCTGCCAAAGGTCAGTTGATGTTTGTCGAGTTGCAAAGGGCGACATAAGCCTAGCTTAAGAAGAGAGTAAATCAAGTTATTTAACTGAAATGAGGTTAGTGAATATTTAATATTAAGATATCAAATGCTTAGCTCGTATGTGAGTACTCTTGATGAATTTAGTCGCACCATCTGATCTTTTATGTTATCTTGTTTCTGATGCTTAGCACATTTACAGTACTTGACAATGGTGTTAGTAGTTAGCAGTTCAAATTTTGATTTATATTCATGTATAGTTTAGATGGCAAATCCAAAATTATTCATGTGCAAAAAAACTCATTGTGTTAAGCCATGAGAAGCTACTAGGAAGCATAAGTGACTTACCTAACCTGAGTTGGACTTTGGTTGGTTTAACTGACGCTGTGTCTGCAAACATAAATTTTGTTGATTAGTTTCAATCTTCATATGACAGTATTTGGACAAAAAAACACATCTGTAAGATTATGTAAAAATTATAATTAAAATATAGAGAAAAAAAAAATATTCAAATAGGTTGTATTTATGCTATTCTATTCTTGTGGACATCAATACTTAACCGAATATGAATAGTTCAGTCTTCAAGATTTGCACAGTGTAACAAAAGCATGATAAATAATTATTCATGAATCCTCAATTACAAATTGCACAAAATGATTTTCTAGGTAATCCACTTAAAAAAGTGTGTGGCTGGCGCAGTGTGTAAAGCCAGGCTCTGACTGCGTCACACGACTGTCGTATGACCATCGGCAAACGATTACTACTCCACTTCCAATGAGCGCTAGACGATGTCACGCCATCTGCTGATTGTCGGTGGCAGTCTGCAAGGATCGTCATTTAAAAATGATCCGATGCGCGAACGTTGTGTTCTCCATTGAATCGTGTCAGCCGAAAACCGGCAGGCGCAGTGAGTGGCCGGCTTTAAGGCATTGAACCTTCGACGACAAGTTTGGGGGCTCAAAACCGATGCTCGTCACAGCGCTTGTGTCCTTGGGCACAACAACTGCATTTGCACTCTTCACCCAGGAGTATAAATGGGCACCTGGTAGGAGGTGAATGATTCGGAACGAAATTAGTAGTGCTGATTACACGCATAACTAGGAATACTCCCTGGGGAGTGGAGGAGGTTGCACATTGTGTATGATAGATTTTATATCCAGTGACCAGGCAAAAAAGTGCCTTGAGCATTTATTTATTTATTCATTTATTTGTTATTTATAGAGGGTTTCCTCTTCAGTAACAAATTACTGTTCTACCAGGGGGCCCAGTACACATAAAACAGTCCACGACACACAAGACAAACATCACACATGATGCTTTACACAAATTAAATCTCAATATGAGGTTTAGGGAGTGGAGTTGTTTTGGTCGTGAGAAAAAGTCCTGCAACTGACAGGAATTGAACCCATGACCCTGGGATTAAAAGGCAAGCATCCTAACCACCAAGCTATTCAACTCCACTCCAGTTTTCTGGATATGTGTGCTATGTAATATTATAAATCCTATAAAATAAATAATAATAATAATAATTTTTATTATGGATGCTTATAATATTTATTATACCACATTCAACCAAGGCTCACTGTAAAGTATTATAGGTCAGGGGCAGCGCTAGCTGGGTATCCGGGAGGGTAAAGGACCCCCGTCTGGGAACTCTGGATCCCCCGCTTGGACCCCCTTTCGGGGAATTTACAGCAAGTTCGTTGGGGAAAAATCAAATCTTGAGTGCCGAAAGTACAATTTAAGCATGCCTTACTAAGCTGTCAAATTTTAGCAATTAAAGAGTGTTCAGTGCGAGCAGTGCTTTTGTATGTGCGAGGTGTTGTATACTATCATATGGGTTGCGCCAGGGGACTCATAACTTGCATGGTTTTCTATCAAATTATCCATTTTAAGTAAAGAATCCCAATTAACACAATATTTTATTATTTTTTTATAAAAAATTCAGGAAATTTCCGGCGCCGCCACACTAAGTGCGCCCGGGTGTTTAACTGATGCTGTATATGCGCAACTGATGCTGTATCGAAAACTAACTCAATATTATTTATTTTTGGTAAAATCAGCGGAATGTGGGCCTGAACTGTCACCGATAATGAGCGACAAATAATTTCGGAAATATTACCTGTAATTTGTAATCGGTTGCTTACCTTCTTCATTCTGTTTTTTCGATTGCAGCTTATGAAGTTCTGATAGAAGAAGTTGTCGCTCATCTGGCAGCAGTTCCATCGCAAAATCTCGCGATTTTTCTGCGTTGTCGAATTGATCCCGAGGAATTCCCCCAAGCAGCATCCTCTTCCTTTTCTTGTACGGAGTAATGGTCATAGATCGCCGCCCGTCGGCGTCGCCCTGCCGAGAACGTAGGACTAGTGCTGGTGCCGGTGGGCCTAGCAAGCCAAGGCATCTGGTAGGCCTATGCCTTGCCATTTCTCCTACACTGGGAGCGCGATGCACGGTAATTGTAAATACTCTAGCACATAAATAGTTTGCAATGTACATTTTGTAATAAGTTATAAATAAAAAGGAAGAACCTTATATCCCTGTACTGACTGGCGACTGTGATTGAGGCCCCACTCCACACACACCAGATTTACAATCGCGATTGATAACATAAACAACAAATAGCGCCCTCACAATTCTTTTTCTCGGTACTAAAAGCTATTTTTCACAGTCGACACCCAACCCTGTTTTCCAAGGCCTTTCGTCTCCCGGGATACTGTCTTGGCACAACCACTGCCCTATAATAGTCTTGGGATAGAAATTCCCAGCCCCTCCCCCTCCAACCCCAAATGAACGTCCTCCTCATGCACAAATAATTTGTGTTAGACAGTGACTCGTGATGTCAAAAAATTGATTAATCTTCAATTGTAGTATCATCCTTCTAAGCTTTAATTATATATTTCAATTCAAACAATCGTACATATAATTTATTTCCATTAAATATATTTTGCAGCATCTATATCAATCTTTATAGACAGAAATTAATGTGCTTACATTGACGCTAATTACAATATTTTATTGATCAAAATTATAGTTTTTCCATGATTCATTTTACTTTTTTTCTATTTTAACTTGCGTTTGCATAAGGGTATACACTCCTCGGTATTAATTCTTATTTAGAGCGTGTTCATCGCAAACTTGCAGAGCAGTGTTAATTATACGAATTTCCTCGATGAAGCATATGGGCCCGAGCATGGGTAACGTTTGCAAAAGAATATAATAATTATTCATCCTCATTCAAAAATGTAATCCAGTGAAATGACCAGCATTTAACAGGCAGTAATAAGACAAACAGGATCCATCATAAACATATTATTTTTGATACCATAAGGGTAACCCTTAGGGGCTCTCCTTATTAGGCCTAATTCTAATGCGGTGCTTTATCAACTTAGTCTAATTACCCTTATTGGAGATTGTTTTTATTCGTGAGGGGAGAAAAAAAAACAAAAACCAAATGCTGTCACATGATTTGAACCCCTGACTCTGGGATTGGAAGGGAAGCATCTAGCCACCAACGTTCATCTTCACTGCATCATTCAGACCTAGTCTATTCAAATTTTTTGTCGCACTGTGACGAGTCCTAGACAAAGCTTTCCGAAAAGCCTTTACAGCAATTTAGGTCATTATGTAGGCCTAACATATTTTTAGCTTCTAATAATTGTAAATACTCTTATTTAAGTGTAAAGCAAAATGCAACCAATCTTAGTCTAAACATATTCATTAAACATTTCTTGTTCTTAATCTTTTAACCGAGCCAAATAAGTAAAACTATTCAAAAAATGTAAATTTTTAACTTATTTAGTTCTGTAAGTTTCATTTCAATTATTATGGATTAAAGTGCAACTTAAAAACAAACTTAATATGATTTTATCAATTTCGATAATAAATGAACGAAAATGAATACTTAAGATTAGACATTGTGTAAAAAATATCTATCAAATTTCAGCTGAGCCAGAAGCATTTCTGATTATAACTTTTCTTCCATTTTATGTAAAAGTTTTGTTTAAAAAATCCAATTGTCTCTTCCATTAACAACGACTGGTTGTATCTTTATACAATTATGTGATTCCATAACTTTGCTGGAACAGTTGTCGGTCATTCTGTGTATTTGGCAAATGTCAAACATGGTATATACATTTAACTGTCGATTAGTAACGGTTCTTTCAATTGGTCCATGTTACCACATTGGGCGTGTCCGTTGCTTAATACAGGCTCATCGATTTCTTCAAATGGGTTATAGTCCTTAGCAACCCTGGTAGAATGTAATGTTGTCATATCCGTCCCAAGACCTATATCAAAATCATCGATACTTCCGTCGGTGGTGGTGCTACAACGGTCAGCATTTTCGGCATCTGCCGGAACAGAGAAGTGAAGGTCATCATTCTCTATCGCTCCCGGATTGGCAATCACCTCAACAGTATCTGGGTTGTGGAGTAGGACTCTTGGGTCCTCGTACGAATGGTAGCGTTTGACTGGCCACTTGCAATAGCACAAGTAAACAAATATTAAAAGTATAATCATAATGATTAGTAGGGGGATGAACCAGCTCAAATGTGGAGAACTCATGGTTTTATAGATTTTTGATGAACGGTATCTGGTGAAGCAAATTAAACAACATTCTGAAGATATAAAAAAATAATAAAATTAAAAATAATAAAAAAAAACCAATTATATTCTACTCCACAGATATACAGTTATAGTTATTATTTTAGTATATCTGTCTCTTATACACATCTAGATGTGTATAAGAGACAGCACCCAACCCTGTTTTCCAAGGCCTTTCGTCTATTTTATTATTTTAGTATTTTATATATATATATATATATATACATATATATATATATAATCAAGATAGCCGTTAACACGGCTATATAATATAGGCCTATATATATGTATGTATATATATACATATATTATATATATATATATTCTTTCTTTTATTATATATAATATATATTATATAGGCCCAATATATATAATAATATATATAATAAATATGTATAATACATATATAATAAATATATAGGCCTATTCTTTATATATATTTATTATATTCTTTATTTATAATATGACATATTAGAATGATAAATAGGCCTAATATTATAATGAATAATTCGTGATATATAGGAAAATATATCTTCTACATGGGCCCACAATAGCCATTTAGACTATTAATTCTCTATAACAGCGAAATTTTTCTGAGTATTAATTGTAAAATTCAGTGTAGAAGAAAGTTTAACTACCAGCATACATTCTAAAATAACTCAATAGGATCACACTAGTCGATAAAAGAAGCATACTTACCAGTGTACCGTATGCTAAGACTATAGTCTACACAAGTAATCGTAAATAAAACATTACGACATCATACTGCATTTTGAAAACTTGCTTGTCTCTGTTACAGTAAAAACACACAATCCAGAACTGGATTTATGCAGACAGAATATTTATTAGCCGGGTATCTAAAATTATTAGGCCTACGATATTATTATTCACTCGTTACCGATTTCTGCCTAAATCAAACATTGAAATAAGTGCATCAATAGAATCTTGTTCAAAAGCTTGTTACGAATTGTCTTCGTGGCATGATCATTTTGACTGCATGGGAAATACATCTTCCGCTAGATCATTCACAGGAAATAGGACCTAGTAATAGCATTGTAACTTTAATTTTGGGTCACGGACTGACCTTACTTCTCAGGATGTATATACAACATTTCATTTCTCATGTTCAACGTGACGTAATCGTTGATTTGCCTGCTTTAACTGAGTAAGATTATCCAATCCGAAGTTATTCCTACCGTGAAAAACTTCTACAACAGCTTGTAAAAGTGCAACATGATTAGCCCATATTGTAGCTAGACTCAGGCGTTGTCGTTGAAATTTGTATTATCAACAATAACAAAATGATTGTGTCAACAGTATGAAATAATAATTGTGTACTAAGAAATCATATTATATAACATGTATCACGAGGAGAGTGAGCAACATAAAACATTTAAATTTCTTTAACATCAGCTTGTTACATAATAATTCTAAAAGTTTGACACCATCTATAGCTCAGTCGTATAAATAGATATATATATATATATGCCTATATATATATATAGGCCTATATATATATATATTTATATATATGTGTGTGTGTGTGTGTGGAGGGTGTGTGTGTGTGGATGTGGGTGTATATATATAAATTTAATTAATTAATTAATTTAAGTAATGTCAGTTTATATCATATGGAGAGGATATTACATTCAACATATGTTTTACTTAATAGACCTGTTTTAATTTTCAGCATTACGCAAAGTGCTCATTATTGTAGATCTTTGTTCTATATTGTACTATACATAAAGAAAGGATGTGCTTCAATCCGACCTCCACGAAGCTCCATTCGCTTAGCTTATTATGACGTATATATGCATATTATTTAGTTTGACAACAAACATGACATCAAAAAATAACGAAACTGAATCATTCTTTCAACATTTTTTGCCTTTTTATTTCTATCACCGTTTAATAACTTTTAACATAGAATTGTCAATAAACCATATAACAATTATAAAATTAATAATCTGGCATATATATTGAATTACTATAACAAATTAATGATCGGGAGAGACTATTGATAGTATAGGTAAATAAGTCGTTGCTCGAGAACCAACTCAGAGATCAAACGTGAAGTTAATTATACCATTACTTCATAAGTCTTAATTCACTTAATATCAAGTATTACAGAAAAAAAAAACTCATTTATTGGTTATCCAAGGTAGCCAATAAAGGTAGATGCTAACATTAGACACTGTAAACACTATTCACACACATACATTTCAATTGTATTCAACTACTAAATACAGTATAGGGCCCATGAATGTCGATTACTTATCAGAAAAAGAACTTTTATAGGCTTAACTAGAGTAACTTGAGCGTGTATAAAAATACATAATATGCCATACATATTTACCTCAAATACATTAATTATTCAATCGAAAATATTAAACATGACATCAAGAAACTAGATAATCTAAAGAACATTCGAAAGTTAACCATATAAATAATTCTAAGAAATTATTTTAATAACAAGTTATGCCAATCTTCATAGATGTATATACCGCCCCGTGTTTTGTTGACAATTCTTGAGTATCGGCATTATACAGTATACATAGTCATATTAACAAAGCAGTGTTATTTCTTTGCAATTTCGCTCGAAAGTTAATCATATGAATAATTCTGAACAATTATTTGATTAACAAGTTATATGCTAATCTTCATATATTTAAATACCTCCTCGTGTTTTGTTGATAATTCTGGGGTATAGGCAAATACAGTATACAGATTCATATTAACAAAGCAGTGTTATTTCTTTGCAGTCTCGCTAGATTGTCCCCATATAGGCCAAAAAAAAACATTCAAAATACTTATCATTTAAGTTATACTAGTTCTTTATCTGTACGTTCGTAATATAGTTCAGAGTCCACTCCGGATGCGGTTGTGTAAGCAATATGCATCATCTTGCCTTCGTTTTCAACTGTTGTGACGGTAGTCCAGAGACCCTTGCCGTTGGTTCCTTCCAAAATCAATGTATTGCCTTCCCAGCGAACGATTCTTTCTTCTGGAAGCCAGTGGAAATTGTCCCATTGTGGTTTTCCAACAGTGAATGTTCTT